GATTTAGGATGGGTGCATTTTTCACATCTTTCCAGGACCAAAGCAGAGGTACTATATTTGGTCAGGAAATTACAGTCAAAATTGAGTTTGCAGCCAAAAGAAACTGCAAAAAATATCAGTATCAGAGGACTGATAAGAGGAGAAAGGCAAGCCAGAAAGTAAATTACAGCTTTGAATAACTGCTATTTAAAACTACTGAATAGTAATCATTCATTCCAATTACCTATTATTTTCAGCTATGAGCCACAATTACTTGAATAGAATAAATTAATGTAGCACAACTTGTAGTTTCTAAAAGCAGTCTCTGAAGTTCTGGATCCACATTACAACTGTCCTAGATAAATGCAGAGTGAAATTAACCTGATTCTTAAGTATCTCCATGCTATACATGGCTCTGTTTTTTGGCTCATGCACTAGTAGAACTGAAGATTGTTACTTCTGAAATACCGCTGGAAAGATCAAAAGTGAGATTATGAGTTCTGAACCAATTTTGGAGCCACCTGAAATAGCCAGAATAGCCAGAAAAATAGCCTACAATATTTTTCTGACCTACAATAGCCAGAAAAAAAAAGAGATTGGAAGAGTACAAAAGAGCATAATAATCTTGTACTCTCTATTGCACTTGATTTGCACATACATGAACTACTTTGCCTCCCTCACGCCTCCCAAAAAGTCCTTTGTTTCTGGTATATTGGCCAAACCACATCGGATCAGTATCTTGTTGAGTCATTATGGTAAAGGTCTTTAACTCCATCACAGCATACGTCTGAGTTTGAGAGTACGCTGAATCTTCTTTCTTTCAGAATTTCAGTCAACTTTAAGTCATAAGAGGAGCATTTAGACTAAGTAATATACAATTCAAAAGTGGTATTTATTGGTTGAAATCCTTTCTTGAAAAATATCTGAGGCCTGCGTTCTTGATCCAAAGATAAAATGAGATCTAATATACTTGGGCTGGAATTTAACAAGTCACAAGTGTAGAACTATTCCTATTAAGTCAATTCTTAGCATGAATGCACTTTATTCTTGAGAACTGGCTGGAAAAACATATTTTATGGTCTCATTTTAGTTCATTTGTCACTTATGAAAAACATCTCCTGACATTCTTAAGGAAACAAAATTTGAGTTCACGTTCTTGAAAAGCAGATTGTACAAAACGGGACTTTTATTGTCCCTCAGCTCTAAGAGACACCTGTTCAAACTTAGAAGAAAGAATAAATTTTGAAGTTGGATGCCTCTTTTGTGGTGTAGGTCAGTTAGCATACAGGAAGTATCACGTTGTCTCTTAAGTACTGGAAAGATTTACAAATACTATTTCCTTTGAGCTACTGAAATGCATGTTTTATATTTCAGATGACTTAGAAAAATCTTGTTGTTGGCAGACTCTAAAGAAATACTTAATGCAACTGTGCTTCTGAGAAATATGTAAAGGAAAGCTGAAGCATGTCGTTTATAACACAGCCTGTATTGCAGACCTAAAAAATAATTCACAATGAAGTGTGTTCTGATTTAGAGTATAGATAGGCAACTTTTCAGGCTTCAGAGATTGATGATAAGTAAAAAGATCAGTTAACTTAATGCTACCTTTTCCAGTGTTTTATTAATAATAATCCTGCTACAAATGTGCATTAGAACTCATAATGATGCTCACCAGATGTCTTTTTGCTGGTCAGAAAAGAAAACGCTAACTCAAAAAGAGTTTTTGCAATAAAAGCAACATGTAAAATAAAACAGACACAAAGACCATAGAAGAAAAATTGCATAGCGAGGAGGGGGGAAGCAATTAAATTGAAAAATGTACAACTGAAAATTAAAACATAGTTTGGCTAAATTTTTCTGTTTGGTAATTGTAATTAAAGAGGACTGCTTGTCTTACTGAAGCAATAAAACAAAATGTTGTCTGCTTAGCAAATGACCCCTAACTTGCAAAAATATGCAGTTCCGAATGAAAATGAAGTAATAGTTTTGAGGAAATTAAATTTATTCCAATTTCTACCTTTTGTATCATCTTTCTGCATTCTTGAGTCTTCGAATCACTTTGAAGTGCACTGACGGAACATTTACTCAGAATACTCACTGTACCATCTTGTATGCTATGTGTTGTAGCATAAAAGCTACAACTCAAAAGCTGACTGCAGGGTAATGTCAGGACTGGCTACAGGTTTCCCGATTTGTGTGAATCCAGTATTTTCACTTCTCTATAGATAAGGTATTAAGGAACTGTTAACAAACAGTGCTGCTCTGAAGCTGAAGAAGCAGCTGTAGGATCTCAAGCTCCTCTGGCCTTGGTTTATAGTAATGTTGGTTTTTTTTAACCCAAGCTTGGCAAAAGTAGCAGCCTGATTAGTAATACTTCCATGACATTCCATGGAATGGAAGGGTATTTTTCTGCACATTCTGAACAGGCACATCAGGATCTGGTTTTGGAGCTAGTACTATACAAGGGCCTCAAGAACCTGGTGCAATTCTTTTGCGTGGATGTAAGTGCAGACTTTTAGCCAAAGAGCTTTGTTCTGATGACAGTGAGACTTGGCTACAGCTATTGAAGGATAACACCATGATGATGCTGAAGCAAACATATTTGACACAGATGAGGCTTTCAGACCAGAAAGATTGAACAGAGAAGAGCAAGACCTTACTGTTTTGTGTCTTCCCAAGCTGTCACATCCCAGGATCCTTTAATATTCAGGAGTTTATGCAAATCCAGCAACATATGTTAAGACAGTAGGAGGTATGTCCTCACTATTGTGTAATGTGGCCCTATGTCTGTCTTCAATCATCTGACCTAACCTGTGCAGTAATATTGCAATCCTTCTGTCTTACTAGGTATCTTTTTGAGTGTGTATACTCAGATTTTGAGTTTGTATTACTTAATAATAATTATGTTAATGTTATGACATATATTTAATATACATTGTTGCATTGTCAAACTCTTTGCACATAAAACTCAAACATGGAATTGAAGCTGTGAAGTTCTTGGAACTTCCAAGAGCAATTAAATGCGACTGCTGTTTTGGAGATGAAAGTAATGCGGTAGAAAGTCTTTTGGCTAAGAATACAACGAATTTTGATTGCAGGTAAGTGCGTATTATCTTCTCTTCAACTGTCAGGCTAGCAGTAGGCTAAAGGCATCATCAGTAAGTATTGCTGGCAATAAGTTAGAATTTGGAAACTTACATTTCCGAAAATACTGCATAGAATTTCTCTCCAAGAAATATTTCAATATAAAAGTTTCGTCCTTTCCTCATTTGAAATTTTATTTCATTCTATTATTGATTGGTTTTACGTTTTCACATTGTATATGTTTTCAGTTCTGAAGTATTGTATAGCTTACATAATGTCTGAATTGTCATGAATTAAAAAATTATTGAATATGCTACATTATGTTGCTTTGAAGACTTAAATAGTGTCTGGGTTTTATGTTTTTCAAATCTACTCAACCACAGAAGGAAATTATTGAAAAGACTACTTCTTATGTCGTCTTTAATATCTAGCTTGTCAATGGTACCTATCTTGTATTTTATTTATGCAAAGATTGTTCATATAGTGAACAACCATGGTACACCCTATTAGTCTACAGAGATAATTCCAAGGAACTCCATTCTTAAATGTGACAAATTGCTTGAACACTTAATGGAGAACAGTTCTGTACTGATAAGAGAGGACGGATGGACTTGCATCAGAGTGTGTTCTCTCTTCTGTTCTGTGATTCATTACTGAGTAAAGTGAGTTGCCCTCGAGTCTTTTTTTAGCCTGTGCTACTAGCTATAATCCAATTCAAAATATTTTTATGGTCTTATCTCAATACATTACTCAAAGGAAACTAAATTTTAGCAGAGACTTCGGGAGCTTACTGCTTGTGGTTGTGGTAATATATTGGGAGGGCAGAAATGGGAATGATTATTTCTTATGGAGCAATAGTCATCTAGAGAAATAATTTGAAAATCATATATTGATTTCGAAAATTAGGAGGAGTTGTTTGAAATCATTGTATAAAAGTCAGTCAATCTACTTTTTTACAGAATTAAAATGTTTGTGTATACATACTTGTGCATGTTCATGTAGCTACAAGTAATTCTTAGCTAAGATTCTCAAAACCTCTCCTTACATACATTTTTTGATGACCATGTGATGTGCAGATATGTATTTCTCTGATACTGCTAAAATTCATGTTCTGTCCTACCTTTATGTGTGGTGGAGGATTTCATGGTCATTGCTGATGACCAAAGGATACTTATTCCTCCTCTGACTTCTATAATACTAATTCTTAAAAAGCTTATTTAAAGTCTGTATAGGGCAAAGACTCCTACTTTGCACATGAGCTTTGGAGGGTATTGCAGGGGAAGAGGGAGGTGCTTTGTAAGGTGTCTCAGAATTGCTGGTTTAAGGATTGCTGTACTCTTTGAGTATGCCTTGTGTGCTGTATTCCTCGGACAACTTTTATTCACTAGACAAGATTTAAAAGTGAAAGAATGTTTACTTAAAAACCTGGACTTAAAATACTGAAGTCATGCCAAAAAAAAAAGCTACACTGTTAAAATAAAACCAAAATTATTAGGATTATACTTTACAATAGTGTTGCTTCTGCAGCATCTCAGCCAGTTTCTGCCTTTCTTTTGGAAAAAAAATGGAATAATTCCAAATTACAGGTTTTCTTTGTCTAAGGTAGGCTGCATTTTCCTTTCCACCTGATCAGAAAAAGAAGGGCAGAAGACAGATGCTATCCTTTTTTCTGTGACATCCCAGACTGGAAAACCTTTGCTTTTTGTTTTTACTAATGAAAACTTACATTCCTGTATTCTGTTGTATTGGATGCTTTGATACTTGTTCTCAAAGTTTAATATTTCTAGTCTATATGTTACTTAGTACAGCCTCTTCCCCAGGTGATACTGTAATTATGAAGTAGTTAAGTCCTTTCAACAGTTTCTAATTTAAGTTTTTTTTCAAAGGGGAAAACTTTTCAGATTTTTGATGTTTTCTTGTCTCTTTCACACTTCTAGCCGTCAAGGACACTGGTTATGACAAGTATGTCTTCTGAGTAAGTATTAAACATTTTGACTCTTTAGTCAGCACACTGTTTAGACTTGAATATCGATAGCCTTTTTATGCCTACACAAAATTAAATTTATCTTTGGACCATATGTTAAAATATTTACTTTCATTCTGAGTTCTAGCTAGGAACATATATATACGCATGTATATGTTGTTGCTGTCTATAGTGTGTGTTTATGTTTGTGTTATGGTGCAGACTGAAGTAGCTGTCCATAGGTGAGCTGAACAGGGCTTCAGAGCAATAATACTTATATCCTAAGCAAGTTTTTGATTTTTCTGAAGGAAGCATAAAAAGGAATTTTATGTAGTAAATGGTTCAGACTTTTCAGCCCAAGACTTAGCTTTTCCCCATACGTTTTAATTATTTCTATTTAAAAAGTTGTAATCTGAAACATCAGTTCAGAATGTTTTCTTTCATATAAATAGTTGCTGAAGAAATATCAGTTTTAGGCTTTTTAGCCACTTAGTTTTGAAACATTAGAAGCAGCTGCCACTGCATATTTTGAGGGAGAGTTAATAATTTTTTGGCATGCTTTTATCATTCTCTTAAAAGTCTTACAGCATAAAGAACATCCAACAAAAACACAATTCCATATTTTATACTACACTTGCTTACAGTTTTTTGAATTCTTTTTCAAAACTCAAGATATTTCTACTACCCACAAATCTGTTTCGGGTTTGGAGTAATTAAATCCTGACAGTTACATAGACATAAGTACTCAGAAACAGCACTTAGTGGCTATGCTTTTAGAGTTCTTTGTAAATAGTTGTCAATAGCTATTAACAAGTATATTAATATATGTCAGAAACGTAAAATGGAAACAATATTTTTCTTGTATTTAAGACTGGATGCTACTAACACCAAGACTGTAAAATGCACTTTGCAAGTCATGCAATACAGGAGCACTGTGGGGGAGGTAGAGATAATAGCTGAAGTGCAGATAGGAGTAGTGGAAAACAGAGGCTATGATCTGCCTAGAAGAACAGAAAAAGTCCTGGCAGAGCTGGGGAAAAAGCTCCTTTGTTGAAAGCGGTCATTAATATATTTTTAATTTACATTGTTCGTATGTTGATTTTTCCCACTAGCCAATTACTATTTCCTTAAATAAAAATGTCTGGTGATAACAATTGCTTTTCTTAAGAACATCTTCATCAAGATTGTGCTTTTGGCTGTCTACAGTTGTAGGCATTCATCAGCCTGTAAGTGAGTGAAGGGAAAGGGACTGCTTCTGAAAGAGCTACAGAACAGAAAACAGTCCTCCGAAGCGTACAACCCAATGGCCAAAAGCCAATTCACTTGTAGGCTGTAGCTCAAAAGTGGTTCATTAGAATTTAAATTTAAAGGTCATGAGTTCAGTGGGTTTATGGCATTAAGTTTTGAGATTATATTAAATCCTGCTTGCTGATTCACTGCCAGCAGCTACATGTTTTTCTGAATCACAAATTCAGTGAAATTTTGCTGAAAAGGGAATATTTTCACATGAAATGGGAATAGTAAATATTCTAGTAACATTCAAGGCAAGATAGCCAAGGCCAGAATACACACTAACCGGTGTCTGGAGTGAGGCAGTTATACCAGTGGTTTGATTTTTTTTTTTTTTTAAGTGTTTCCACATACAATAATACCTTTTGACTTAAGTGTGAAGTTAGTTTGCTACACTGTTTGCTGTTACTATTCATTTATTTGTTTGAAACTACTTCAAAAAATAGATTGTTGTATTCTCTGTGAGTAGTTTTTTGCAAGTTCTGTTAGAGTTCCTCTAAGTAGTGTCTGCTTTAGCTGGGGTATTTGAGGAGCTGTAACTGAATTATTGTCTGTGAAGTGAAATGTAGTGAGAATGAAAGTAACCCCAGAGGCTTCTGGAGATGTTCTGACTGTGCTCACATTATATCAGTCATTAACTTAAATGTTTTACCCAAGAGGATCACCATTGTGATAGAAGATGTGACTGTGTTCAAGGCTGTGCTTAATTGTTTTGTCTCGTGTGGCATGCCATGGACATTTCCAAGTGAGCAGAGAGGATACTGGAACTGCGCTTTCATTTTCAGATCTTTAATGATTATTTATAGTAATCATCATTAGTAAGAACAGTAAATTATTCTCATGCAACAGCTTTTCTCTAGTGATAGCAAGATCTCACTGTTTTCACGATTATGTATTATGATGTATTTGTATTATTATCAAGTATTTGTCTACTTTAGGGTATCTATGTAGAGAACTCAAATTAGAATTCCAGTTGTAGGTGGCTGTTCTGGATTTTATATTCAGTTATAATGGCATTTAAGGATAAGTGAATTTTTAATTGAAACATTGGCTCAGATGTATAGGTAGCACCTTGGAACTTTAAGACTTCTCTCTAAATTAGAGAAGCATTTAGACACAGCATTTTATTCATATGCTGAAAATCCAGTGCTTCCTAGTGAAAACCTCTTTAAGAGTGCTGTGTCTAAATGTTTACATGTCCTGCTAATACTTTTTTGATAGTACTGCAAAAGCAACCAAGAATGAGGCTCTGTTGTGCTAGGCATTGTACACAAACCGTATGTTAGATAATTCCTGACTCAAAAGCATCTATTTAAACAGATAAGATAGATGTGGGGAACAAAAGAGCTTTGATATGCAAGTAGATATGACTGTGTGATGACAAAAATGGTCTGTTTGAACTCTGTGGGAAGGCTAATGAATTTAGGGATGGCAAATGGGTACAGGCTCAGTGAGAAAAGGATAAGAAATGATTAGTGAGGAAAGAAATGAGATGAGTTTATTTGTCTTGTGCGTATATGCTTTCATAATTCTGCATATCCATTCAACATTGTGTGTTTTTTTCCCCCTTTTTTTCTTTTGAGGAAACAAAATACAGTAATTCAGGTGGTGAATAAACTTGGAGACTTTTTGTTCTCAGATGAAGTGTGTGAAACAACAAGTCATGTAGTTACAGGGAGTCCTCGCCGTACCTTGAATGTTATGCTGGGAATTGCTCGTGGGTGTTGGATTGTTTCTTATGAATGGGTAAGAAATATTTTTAAATTTTACTACAGAATAAATTAAACTTATTTTATATAGCTGAAATATCAACCATATAACAATGTTTTGTGTCCATGCTATGCACAGCAGTGCAATGTTCATATATTCAGGCCTACCTAGAGTTATCTCAATCAGAGGAAATTTGTGTGATGCTCTGTTACTATGACTTAGTCCTTCAGTACTTCATTTACCCAAATTATTCCTGTATTGTACCTCAGTACATTAGCCAAGTAACATTAGTCAGATCAAATTTTTTATGTACTGATGTAATACATTTCTGCTGTGCTCCGAAACGTTATGTTCAGCATTGGTAAAAAATGAAAGGGAATTGTTAGATACTTTGCTGCGTAGTGGAAAAACTGCAAAATAGAAAAAAAAATAAGGAAAGCTATTTGTAGATGAGTAGTTTGGAGACAGTGTAATTTACAGAAATTATTCCCAGACATCCAGATCAAATAATGACTGTACATCCTCAAAATTTCTTGTGGACTACCACATAACGTTAACAGACGGTTACTGTAAAGACAAGATAATAATGAATTGCTGCACTGCGTCCGGCTGGGATGGAGTTAATTCTCTTCCTCATAGTTCCTTTGGACTGGTGACCAAAATGGTGGTGATAACCCACCAGTGTTTTAGCTATTGTTCAACAGTGCTTACACAGCGTCAAGGTGTTCTCTGTTCAGCACCCCTCCCCAGGAGGTAGGCAGTATTTGGATAATTAGTATTCTGGCAATCACTATCTTGGAATTTCATTGCCCATTTCATGCACTGTGCTTCTATGAACCAATCCATGGTGAAGACATCCACACATCCTCTTCATAGACCAGTACTGACTAGTAGCAATGCCAAATTTTCTCCTGCTGTCTTACAGTCTACCTTTTAGACTCATCACAGGATCATCTGTATCCCTCATATAATACCAATACGTTACGCGGAATTGTTCCAAGGATAAGTTTGTTCCTGTAAGCATTGGATGAAATGCTGAAGCTGTCTTCACTCATTTTGTTGAGCTGCTATTTAGAAAAAGTTCTAAAATTACTAGGAGAGCCACATAAGAAGGAACTAGAGAAAAACTTCAGAATTCTGTTCTCCAAACCACAAGTTTATTCAGTCTTATAGTATCTGCTTATCTGTGAATATTACTATTCTTAATTTTCTTAGAACTGGGCTTGATCTTCCACTGAGGCTGGGTACAACTTTGTCCATAAATGTATAATCCCTCATGTAATTAAGTCATGAAAGAAAATATTACTTTGAACCTTTTAAAAAAATATGTCTTAATCTGGTTAAATCTATGCATTTTACGACGTAAAAGCATTATCGTCTTATTGCTAATTGTGTCACTCGCATAATTTTGCCATCTTTTTACCCAAATTCATTAACTATAATAACATGAATTCATACTTTAAATAGAGAAGAGAAAGCTGAAGTCTTACTTAACCATCATGAGGAGTTCTATAGAAAATGAGTCAGGAGAATTTCATTTAAGCAAAATAATATTTTCTTTTTATTAATGCTACAATACTGAACCATCATCTTCATGGCCCTCCTCTGGACCCACTCCAGTAGCTCCATGTCCTTCTTGTGCTGGGGACCCCAGAGCTGAACACAGTATTCCAGGTGGGATCTCACAAGAGCAGAGTAGAGGGGCAGAATCACCTCCCTCAACCTGCTGTCCACGCTCGTTTTGATGTAGCCCAGGATACGGTTGGCTTTCTGGGCTGCCAGCGCACATTGCCGGCTCATGTGAGCTTCTCATCCACCAGCACTCCCAAATCCTGGTAATTATTACTTACAAATATTACTTACCTCTGCCTTTTGACTCATAACATGGAGAGATAATTTAGGCTGCAATATTTTTTCTTCTTCTAAGAAAAACTTAAAATGATAATTTAAAAAGTGGATGTTGGAGAAATATCAAATTTAATCAGACATTTAATTTTGGTAGCCCTCCATTTACATATTTCAAAATGGGCTATTCAAGTACAAATACCATATGATCATTCAGTGTGCTAGCTGGATGGGTAAAAGGCCTTAAACAATGACTAGTCAAACTGTGTGTTTTCAGAGCCTTGAGAACTTGGATGTTTAACGTGAATTTTCCTGTGTAGTGTGAATATTGTATATTATATAGTGTAATATAAGTAGTGTAATGTATATAGTGAATATGTATAGTGTAATATAAAAGAACATGACTGATATGGATACGCGAAAGAAAACTGCACCAAGACTAACCTTGTAGCCACATAACCTGCAGGATACTTATTGGACCTCTATGCCATACAGGTTGCCTGCTACTGAATTAGATAATATGGTCCATACTTTCAACGGAAGATTGATCAGCTTTATTCTAGAGTCCAAACCCAGAGGAAAACATTCTTTAATATAAGAAGTCCACAGAAAAACTATGCTTTGCCCCCTCTCCTCTTCTTTCTCTATTTCCTCCTTTCTTGGGTCCGCCATGACCGGCAAGGCAGCATTCTACTAGAATCTGATACATTCTTAATATCTCAATGTTACCAGCTGTATTCTCCTAACTTCTGATATTCCTATATCCAGCATTCATGCTTGATATGTACTGTACTGCTTTATCATTACATTTTAAGCTAAGTCTTTTTTAACTACACATTTGAAAACTTCTAGATAGCTCTGTCTTCTTAATATAAACACTTTCATATTCTGAAGTATTTCAATTTTTCTTTATCCTTTTCCACATTCTAAGGAACTGTTGAATATGAAGATGTTACTGACTTAACAAGAAAAAGTAGTTTACTCAAGAATAATATTGCAAATCATAACTTGGTTTTGTCTTGCATGAATTTGAAGCATTTTTTTAGTGTTGCTGTGAAAATATACTGGTTGAAAATTTGTCTCTGCCAAAGTCAGAAGCAAACTTTCAGTGACTTAGTTGCCTTTGTGTTCATGAAAACTGTTTTAGTGAGTGGTGACCTAATTATTTACTGCAGGACCTGTTCATGAACTCTGTATCTAATTTTCTTTTTATCTAGGAAAGTAGATACGATGCCTTTGTACTCAATTCCAGAACCATGATAGACAAGCATTAATCCATCTTTTGTTAAGATAAACAAAATACATTTCTAAACAAAATTCTGTAAATACTACAAGGATTGATAGAGGTTGTTACTGTAAAATTGGCCTGGAAAATGAAATGGGATTACTTAATCATAACTAATCTTTTGGGTTTATATTTTAATCTATTTGGGTTGTTTGCCAGTTACTCTTGGTACAAACATCATTTTGATACTATAGGGACATGGTGTACACATTATACAGCATAGTACATCTGTTCCTGCTCGAGGTTATTTACAACGAAATTGTTTTCATGCAGCACGTCTTTGAGAATTGTATTAGAAGTTGCAATTTTCCTGGTTCAGTCAAAGTTGATTTATACTGTGATTAAGAGAGAAATGGCTTGGATTAACAAATTTCTTTGATTTGCAATAAATACACACAACTTTAAGAATAAAGCTAACAGGTTTCAACATTCTTATTGTAAATTGTAAAAATTGTAAAAAATATGCACAGGTATCCTTAAAATTTATAACTGAAAATCCTAAATTGCAGTCTTAACTCTATGTTTTTAAGAAATTACTGTACTTTTCTTGGCTAAACATGGCAATGGATTACTATGTTTTGAATATTTTTCTAAAGCTCATTGATTTATTAATGTGCTTAACTCATTTTTAGGTTTTATATGATATAATGACTATAGAAATTATTTTCTCTTTTTGTACAGCATTTGCATTTTCAAATATTTTGTGGTATGTTTTCTAAAAGTAAACACAGTATTATTTAGATGTTTGTAAGAAACTTCAACAATAAGTTTGAATATGTACTGCTTTTTATTATCAACAAAAAATCACTGTTCACTTCCAATAGCCTGCAAAATTGGACACCTTCCCTCCCCTCACAAGTAAAACATCACTTGCCACATCACACAAAGCACTAGCTTTTGTAGCAGTTTATAGACGAGGTTGCTGGTTCCCTTGAAAGTTGTCAAGCATGAGCTACTTTGGACTAAAGACTATAGAACTTGGTTTTGATAACAAAATTAGTTTCTATATTGTTTGCAATTTACTTCTTGTAGCAACAGATCTGGGGCAAAAGAGCCCTTTATAGAAAGTTATTTTCCTGCATACAATTAGGCCATTTTATAAGATTTACATTACTAGTTTACAGTCAGTCTGCTCAATCAGTCAGCTTAGAATCTTGTTTAGTTACTGAGCTGTAACATTGTAAAGGATAACTTTATCATGCTTGATATCTATCATGGCAATTTTTGTCCAAGAGGAGCATCTCGTAGCGCTGCTCCCCAAATTTTGTGAGGTAAAGTTTTATAATTTAAATTAAAACTAGCAATACATGGATTTGTATGGCATCTTCCAAAACAAAAAAAAAGCAGAATATTTCAGTTAATTGTGAATCGAGCATGGGAATCATTTCATGCACTGATGAAATTCAGCTCTTTGTAAGGTATATAATGACAACAGTTTAATGCTGCATGGCTGTGCTAACACTGAGAAACAGACATCATCTACTTGAAATAGCTAGAGAACTGTTTAGGGAAATTGTGACTGCCAGAGGTAGAATTATCCTGAACACAGAGATTTACTTTCTAATAAATGCCATATAATCCCATTTTGGCGTATACATACACTTCTTGTTCACTTAATACTACCTGCTGCTGTAGGAGCAGCAGGGTATTGGGGGGTTGCTGTGGTTTTTAAGGTTGCATGTATGCATCGTGCTTTCTCTCACTATTGGGTAACAGGGCTTTTTGACTTTTATTTAAGGCATGCCAAATGGCAACTGCAGGAAGAATGTTGCGAAGCTCAAATATCTGTTAAAGGGGAAAGTTGTTGAATTGTGTGATAGTGGACAAGCTTGGCAAAAAAACTACGAGTCTTTTACCTATATGAGAAAGTTTATGGTTCAGCTTACAGTGATGAAGCCAATGGGGAAAATGAACTGCTCTTCCATCAGAGTATGCTTCAGAATTTAGATTGTCTAGAAATTAGTAGGCAAACACTCTTTATACAATTCAAGGGCAGAGCCCTGGTAGGAACTTCAGTCTTTTTCCATTTTCCCATAAAGACGATGCTTTTACCACTTGACGAATAGTCTCTGAACATTCTTTGTGAGGCTTTTAATATTATAGTCTACCAGCTGCAACTTATAATGATAAATTGTTTTGAAGAATGGTTTAGAAAATCAACTCAGGAAAAATGCTGGATGGAGTAGTTCTGGGACAGTTTTACCAAGAAAAAAAATAAATCTTTCATAAACTGAAAATATAACCATTTCAAGTATTTTTTTTTTTTCTGTTAACCATTTTGTGGTGGCCCTGATGGGGACAGAAGTCTGAAAGTAGTTCGAAGTGTTAGGATAGCTAGTCTCCAAGGATCATGTTCATCCAGCATTTCAGAGCTCAGTTGAACGCAAATGATTGTGTGTTTTCCAGACAGTCAGTTCTCTGCACTGTTAGCAACCTTTTTTTATGCTCTAGAATGTGACGTTGACAGAGAAGGACATGGAAGAAAATGAAATTGAGCTTTTCTTCTTTGCAGGCTGATTTATCTATGTAATGTGGATTATATACAATAGTTGTGTAATCTCAATCAGTAGTAGTGGGCTGATACTGGTCCAATATTGTTTAACATCTTCATTTATGATCTGGATGATGGGGAAGAGTGCACCCGCAGCAAGTTTGCAGATGTTACAAACTGTGAGGACTATTTGATACACCAGATGGGCATTCCCATTCAGAGGGACCTTGACAGGCTGGAGAAATGGGCCAATAGGAACCTTGTGAAGTTCAACAATTAACTGACCCAAGAGAGCAGAACTGAGAGAGTATGACTTCGCTTTTCAAATCTTTACTCTAATTTTGTGTATTATGATGCAAAAAGTCTATTTTTCTAATATCCTCACAAGATTTTAAAATTTAATGTAGCTACACATAGAAATATGATTTTGGTATTAGAATGGTTTGTTTTAGTTGTAAAATTTGTATCTTTCTGATTGCTTGATTTTTTTTTTTGGTGAATCATTTGGTTTGGGTAAATGAAATATCAAACCAACTATTGCAACTGCACTGTTACTTCTAATTACACATTCAAAGCGTTTGCTATGTAAGAGTTCTACTTACCACTTAATTTATTTTAGGTTCTGTGGTCTTTGGAATTGGGACATTGGATCTCAGAGGAACCATATGAGCTTTCATCCAACTTCCCTGCAGCTCCTGTAAGTTTAATGGCCCTTTAAGATTGTGAACTTTCTTTTGTTTATCTGGATAATGATTGGCCCTTTAAATAGGTTTTTGTTATCAAGAAGGCCTACTAGAAAAAAATATATTTTTTTAAAGCAAATACTGCAAGGAATTATTTTTTCCTTCATCCAATACTTTTTGAAGTGTGTGCAAAAACTTTGGTATGCACAGAAAATTGATTTCACAATTGACGTCTGAATGAACTAGCTTCTTATTTAAGTATAAATGTCCTTTAATTTATTTGTGGCATATTTTATTTCTATCTGTGCTTGTATATAAACTGCAGAGGCATGTTATCACCTAACGGAAAGATTATTCAGATCAAGGACTCAATATTTTCAGTCCAGAAATGACTTTGGCAATAAAAAATTACTGTGGGCTTCTAAAACTGCTAAGTAGATAAAATGAAGCATTTATCCTGCCTTTAATGATCATTCTTAGTACTCAATTGTGAACTAGTGCAAAAATGTTTATGTAGGGGCTTGGTATATCTGTGCAGACCCAAGTGTATCTGCACTTCATGTGTTGTAATTGATTAAACAGTAATTTTGTTTCAGTTTTAGAACAAGTAGAATTCTAGCCCATTACTAGTCAATCATTCTAATAGTTTTGTTAAAAAAGGTTTCACAATTTCTCTTATATTGTAGCAGTTAGTTAAATATATTATCATTTGCTACTTCTTTCTCAAAGTTTCTTACAGGCTTTGAAGAAAGAACATTTAATGGGGTTTGAACTTTATTTTTACTATCATTTTATTAACTTGTAAGAACTTATTTTTAACATTCTTTCTAAATCTATAATTTATGTAAATTTACATCTTCAAGATGAAGACTTTATTTCTGAAGTTGTATGTTCTTAAAGTGTAGGG